GAGGAGGAGGAGGAGGAGGAGGAGGAGGAGGAGGAGGAAAAGGAGGAGGAGGAGGAAAGAAAGGAGGAGGAGGAGGAGCAGGAGCAGGAGGAGGAGCAGGAGGGGGACCAGCGCAAACCCAAGAGTCATCAACGATGTCCTAATTTTCCCTCCCTCCAAGCTCCCTCTTCATAGGCTCCTGCAACGGTTCAATTTCATAGAGGGAATTGTCTCGTTGGAAGACAACCGTTTGAAGACCTTGAAGCATGCAAACATATTGTTCTCGGGATTGTCACGCCACGGATCAACCTGACTGCTGCGTCCTGACGATCTGGCATCGTGCCGAAACGCCCACTGTGGGACTTCAGCACCACGAATCAACATGACTGCTGTGCCCGCATGTTCGTGAACTTTTCGAAGACACAATTTCTGGTACGTTGATCATGGACAGTAGTGAAACTCTTACAAATGTCTAAAACGAATGTGCCCGGCGCTAGGGCGAGGGCCACATTTTGAAAGCAACCCGCCCTCAATCCATGAAGCTCTTGCAACTGTTTAAAACGAACGTGCGTGGCGCGAGGGCGACAGTCACAGTTTGAAAACCACCCGCTTTCACTCTGTGCAACTGTTGCAAATGTTTAACATGAATGTGCGCGAAGCTAAGGCGAGAGCCATATTTTGAAGACCACCCGCTCTCAACCCGCGAAGCTTTTGCAAATCTGTGAAATTAATTTGCGTGGCGCTAAGGCGAGAGCCACATTTTGAAAACCACCCGCCCTCAATCTGTGAAACGGCGGCAATTATTTTAGCTGCAGCGTCATAAATGGTGAGGACGTCTCAGACGAAACGCCCGGCCCGCCCTGAAAACTGAGCCCTCGGGGGGAGCCCTCGGGAGCCCAACGAAAACGCTACAAAAGCGTAGCGTGTTTTTTTTGGGGGGGGGGCGTTTTCAGCTCGTCAAGAGCGCAAGCTAGAAAACGCAAAAGAACGCCCAGGGCGTTTTTAAGATAAACGAAACCGGCGGGGCTGGTGTGACCCCTTGTTGGCCCCGTAACACAAGGGGGCTATGTGACCCCGTGTTGGCCATAACCGCCGCTCCAATACAGAGCCATTAGGACGCGAACAAAATGGACGGCGGTATCGGTGCCCCGACGACGGTGCGGTGACAAGCCGTGCGACGACCTCGAACCCCCCAAGAGGCCTCACCGACCTGTCCGTCACGGCACTGTTTTGGGGCCGTGGAGGCCCCAGTTGCCCGAGACATCCTCGGAGAACGATCTGGGTTCCATAACCGTGAGGTCACCCCAATTCCGAACCGACTCACCACACGGTGTGGTCACCGCACCGTTTGGGGGCCATCCACGGATGTTGGGGGGGGGTCTGGGGCCACGCGGCCGACAACGTTGGGAGGTAACGTCTGGAAGGTCGTCGTGGGAACGAGTGAGGGCCATTGGGCTCCGATGGAGGGGCCATCGGACCGTAGCGGTATGGGTACCTTTTCATCCTCCGAACAATCCCGCAGAAACGAATTAGGAGTGAGCATGCAGGCGTAGACGGTCTGCTCTTGGGCCTTCCTCCCTCGGGCCCACCGGACGCCGCGGCGCGCTTCTGGCTGGGCCACACCGCCCACCCACCGCTCCCCGGCGGAGGGAGGGCAGGATGAGCGAAACGACAACGGTGTGCCCTGGGGCCACTAAAACGAGCCCGACACGCCACACATCCACCCCGACACATGCACAACAGGGATCATGTAAACGCGGACTGCCCCCATCAATCTTTCGGTTCAGGGCACTGGTCACCACATATCCCGCATCCCCCACACAATGTGTCAACTGGGGGGTAGAGTCACCCCGCGCAGCACAGTAGAGAGAAAAAGGGGCATGGCGACGCGTCACCAGACGGCCCGTTGGCTCCATGCTGTCAGCGCATCCCAGCGAAGGAGAATGGGAGGAAGCGAGAAGCAAGCAGACGACGACGACGGACGCAGAGGCAGGAGGCCCTGGTTGGCAGGACGAGACGGGAGGGTGGGAAGTTGTCACCGATCCCCGCTCGACTTGCACGCAGTTCCTGCTCAACTGCCGCCATTCCCGAGCGCTGTAATGCCTTTGCGGGCTCCTCCTCCTCCTCCTCCTCCTCCTCAGCCCCCTCCTCTCCACCCCCTCCTCCTCCTCCTCCTCCTCCTCCTCCTCCTCCCCCTCCTCCTCCTCCTCCTCCTCCTCCTCCTCCTCCTCGTGCTCCCTCCTCCTCCTCCTCCTCCTTCCTCCTCCTCATCCTCGTCATCCTCCTCCTCCATTCCTTTTCCTTATAAGTACACAGGTGAGTGACTGCCGTAAGTTGGCAACGCTACAAAATGGACGCGGCCAGATCCGTCCAGCAACGATCCTGCAGCCGTCTCCACCCCAGGTACCCTTCGGCGGGCCGGGCGACCCCACGCTCACCGTGACGGCCGCCCCCGACACCTCGTCGCCCGCGCCGCAGCAGGTGGTGCAGGAGATACAGCAGTACATGGGCCTGCAGCAGGAGCTTCGTCCGCGGTGGGGGAGGCTGGGAGGAACAAGAGGCTGGGAGGGGCAGGACGAGGGAGGGAGGAGGAGGAGGTATATGAGCAGAGAGAAGGGAACGATAGGAGGAAAGAGGGATGGGCAGGAGGAGTGAGGGAGTAGGGGATACGAGGGAGGAGGGACAGAAGGAGGCGGCAGATATAGGTGTGGGCCCACGCCAGGAGCTTTGCTCGGGAGGCCATGGACGGGAACGGGCGAAAGGGACCAGAGCCGAACGAGAAAGATTGCACAGACAGAAACTTTGGGAGGCCCGCGTAGGCTTCATGGGTGTGCGCCGGCGCCGACCCTGCTCGTATTTCCGGGCGCCCTTCCGCGCGACCCAGAGCCGGCGCCTCCGCTCAGAACTGCGGCGACGGACCCCAGGGCTCCCCATCCCCCCTTCCCCCGACCCGTCCCCCTCAGGCGCACTGTCCTGCGTTCCCCTGAAGGCCCCCCCAAGGCCCTCCCGAGGCCCCCTGGACGCCCATCGCGCCCAGCGAAGTTCCGACCGATTCAACGTGCCCCCCCGCTGACCGCCCCCCCCTGCAAGAGCCTCGGCGCTTATCGCGCCCGGCGAACATCCGACCGTTCCAGCGTGTCCCGCCCTCGCTAGACCGCCCCCCTGCAAGCCCCCTGTGCGCGTATCGCTCCCCGCGAGCTTCCGACCGTGCCAGTGTGTGCTTCGGTGGAGTGCCGGTTCAGTGTTTTTTGGCGCCGCGGCCTTCCTGGCAATACAAGATACAAATACAAGTACACTCAGCATGACAATCACCGGACAGCTCGCCCCTTGGCCCCCCGCCAGCCCCACGCCAAGGGGCGAGCATATATACGGGCGCAGCACCTCGCTGGAGGCGTAGCCGTCGGCTGGGCCGACCATACAGATGATGCATCGCGTGGCGGCTGGATGCCCGCGCCGAGCACAGAGCTCTTCTCGGTTCCTCCCTCCTCTTCCTCCTTCTCCTCCTCTTCCACCTCCTCCTCCTCCTTCGACTCCTCCACTTCCACCTCCTCCTCCCTTCTGCCGCCTCCTCATCCCGTCCGCGTCCTCCGCCCTCGAGCTGATCTCCCCCCCCCCGTCGTCCATTTTCAATGAAATCCTCCTCCCGCCGCCTCTTGCCTCGTCCGCCCGAGATATCCTCACCCGCTTGCTTAAACCTGCCACCCGAAATATCCTCACCCGCTGGATTAAAACTGCCACCCGAAATATCCTCATCCGAAATATCTTCACCCGCTGGCTTAAAACTGCCACGCGAGATATCCTCACCCGCTGGCTTAAACCTGCCACCCGAAATATCCTCACCCGCTGGCGTAAAACTGCCACCGAAATATCCTCACCCGAGATATCCTCACCCGCTGGCTTAAAACTGCCACCGAAACATCCTCACCCGCTGGCGCTTAAAACTGCCACCGAAATATCCTCACCCGCTGGCTTAAAACTGCCACCGAAATATGCTCACCAGCTGGCTTAAAACTGCCACCCGAAATATCCTCACCCGCTGGCTTAAAACTGCCACCCAAATATTCTCACCCGCTGGCTTAAAACTGCCACCCGAGATATCCTCACCCGCTGGCTTAAAACTGCCACCCGAGATATCCTCACCCGCTGGCTTAAACCTGCCACCCGAAATATCCTCACCCGCTGGATTAAAACAGCCACCCGAAATATCCCGAAATATCTTCACCCGCTGGCTTAAAACTGCCACGCGAGATATTCTCACCCGCTGGCTTAAACCTGCCACCCGAAATATCCTCACCCGCTGGCGTAAAACTGCCACCGAAATATCCTCACCCGAGATATCCTCACCCGCTGGCTTAAAACTGCCACCGAAACATCCTCACCCGCTGGCGCTTAAAACTGCCACCGAAATATCCTCACCCGCTGGCTTAAAACTGCCACCGAAATATGCTCACCAGCTGGCTTAAAACTGCCACCCGAAATATCCCCACCCGCTGGCTTAAAACTGCCACCCAAATATTCTCACCCGCTGGCTTAAAACTGCCACCCGAGATATCCTCACCCGCTGGCTTAAAACTGCCACCCGAGATATCCTCACCCGCTGGCTTAAACCTGCCACCCGAAATATCCTCACCCGCTGGCTTAAAACTGCCACCCGAAATATCCTCATCCGAAATATCTTCACCCGCTGGCTTAAAACTGCCACGCGAGATATCCTCACCCGCTGGCTTAAACCTGCCACCCGAAATATCCTCACCCGCTGGCGTAAAACTGCCACCGAAATATCCTCACCCGAGATATCCTCACCCGCTGGCTTAAAACTGCCACCGAAACATCCTCACCCGCTGGCGCTTAAAACTGCCACCGAAATATCCTCACCCGCTGGCTTAAAACTGCCACCGAAATATGCTCACCAGCTGGCTTAAAACTGCCACCCGAAATATCCTCACCCGCGGAAATAAAACTGCCATCTAACGGCCTGGTGGTTCAGTTCAGTCTGTCAGTGTCTACCTCGCGAGAATCAA